AGGAAGCAAGCTTTGAGCCAAAAAAAAAACTAAGAAGGATTCTCACAGAGCTATATATAAAGAAAAGCATGATGAAATACAATTTTTCACAAATTAGTACAGGAGAACATACAGTACTCTGAGATGATGTGGATTTCACTGAAAGAACAAGAAAGATGTCAGCTCTCAGGAGGTGGAAAATTTTGAGTTTTCTTTTTTGCCACTTGTTTGAATTTTTATCATATTCTTTTGGGGATATCGATTACACTTTGTTTCAAATGAGGAAATTGAAATTCTCAATTAAATTTTCTTTCCTGAAAATTTGGAGATCTGTGACTTTCCCTCAAAGCTGGGGAGAAAAAGTCAAAATGTGTAACTTATGGCAAGTAAATCTGTTTGACGCTAGTGTAATTGCATATTGCTGATTTTATTAATCCATAAAAGTAGGCTTAATTCTAATTCTTGGGATTACAGGTGGGGAAAGTGTGTCTCTTCAGACTTTTCTGTGATTTTTCCCAAGATCACCTCAACTAGTGGCAAAGGATTGAGGAAATTTCTTATTTTCTCTTCCAAGTTTCTGTGCCTTATATCTTCAGGTCTGCCTCTAAAACTACCAGATGTCAAAATATTCAGTGAGGAATATTCTTTGGTCTTTTAAGTCTGAATTTCCTCTGGCAAGCAAAGCATGAGTGTGCCAAGAAAGGATGAGGCTTGGAAAAAGATATAAGCAAATTTCTGTAACTGTCCAGCTGCTTCATAGATCAAGGAAGTCTGAAAGCTGAAGGTAGATGCAATTCCCACATCATATGGAAGGTCTCTATTCTGCTGGCACTGAAACTTTTCACTGACTTCACTGTTATCTTTCATCAGGAGAGCAGTTATTTAGAAAGGTCTTGCATGCTTTCATGCTCACACCCCTTTCCTCTTCCTTTACCTTCTTCCCTCTTAATTTTTTATTTATTTGTTAAGCAGGGAGTTTAGAGACTCATTTGGAGGAGTAAGGGATGGCAGTGATGTGGTCTGGATCTGGGAGTGCAGCTGCCTTGTTGTCACCAATTAGCATTCCTGGGAGGGAGGAGATTGAAATTTTAGCACTTACAAAGCCCTAATTGGCTTTGCAAAACGTATGTGACTGCTGCTGCTCTGCCATCTGCAGTTGGCACTGTGCACATTGGCCTTCCCTTCAAAGAGGTACCCTGCAGGCTGGCACCTCCTGGCTGCATGGCACTGGTGTTGGTGTGTTTTGTGGGACTGAGGGGACATCTAGGTCAGGGTTCTGACAGCTACAGGGATGATGGAGCAGAAGGGAGACATGGTTTTTTATATGCACTGTCATTAACAGCTCTCCTCAGGATCTCTGGGTAGGGCAGGAGTCATCATGAGGCTGTTTGAAGGGGATGTTTGTGTCAGTTCCCACTTTGTTGTGGGACTGTTATCATGGGGGTCATGGGAGGCTTGGTGTCAGTGGGCAGCACACCTGCAGGGGCCTTAGAATCTGGAGGCAGCTTGCTGCTGTGTGGCAGGGCTTGTAGGGAGCTATGTGAAGGATGCAACAACTTGGAGATAGAGCTAGAGTCACAAAAGGACTCAGAGCTGAGTTGGGCCTGGAGCTGCAAGGAGTCAGGGGCTGTGGTCTCAGCTCAGATATCTGCAGGGCCAATCCTTGTGCATCTCAGGCATTAGGCACCTCCATGGGTCACTCCTCCATGTCCTCCATTTCTCTGTGGTGCTATTTATTTATATGGTGTCACTAAGATGTCTTCTGCCTGCTGGGGTTTGTATTTTAATAGCCTGAGTTTCTAGGCAGTCATTTGTGGGTAACAGGATGAGGATCTCATTTTAGACGTAAAGCAATAAGTAGGCATGATGGAAGATAGAAAGCAGGAGATTAAAATGGAAGTGAGCAGGTAAAAAGGGAGGGTGCTTTTTTTCTGGAGCTTGTCTCGGTAAACTGTTATTTTTTTCAACTATTTCTCCTGTCTCCCTTATCATTTGCATGTGACTTGTGTTTGTGCAGATTACACAGAATTGTAGGGATTGGAAGGGACCTCTGAAGGTCATCTTGTTCCACCACTCTAATGCAGGTTCCCTGCAGTAGGCTAAGTGTTCTGTCACCCTCAAAGTAAAGAAGTTTTTCTTTGGTTTATCTATCGTTGAGGGATTTAACCGCTGTAGAAATGAAGAAACGTGCTTGTTGGATGTATATAATCTGTTCCTTAAACCTTTTCTTTGCAGCAGCTATTTGCTTACATTCTCTGTATCCTTCTTTCGTGTTGAATGTATTGGGTAAGAGCCAGTTCCTCATGTGACTGGTTCAAGGTGTGTAAAAGGCAGGGCAGCTTTTACCATGATGAGTTCTGTTCCTTTCCTCTGCCGTGCTGGTGCTAGCTTTCACAGAGATTATAGGGACTAAATTTCCTCCAGTCCTTTATTTCTCTGCCAAATTAGTTGAAATTGGCTGATGAAAGTGAAAGTTGTCAAGAGGGGGGATGTGCATCTGAAGGCCTTGTTTCTTAGGAACCCAGGCTGAAAATAATAACATAGAGATATATAAATCAGGGTTTTTGTCAGATAAGAAGCATTGTGCCTCTTCAATTTACTGCAGTTTTAATGGGAAATGGAGGAGAAGATATACAGTGACCTGGCAGGGAGAAATGCAAAATAAATTAGTAGCAAAACTAACGGTCTGATAGTTTGTCCCAAATGTAGGTCTTGTTAAAAGAACCCATCATCTTGAAAGTCAGTTCATTAGAACATTAACAAAAGTGCAGGCTAAAATGTTTTGCTGGAAATTCTTTTTGCTAAAATTGCCTTCATCCCCCTGGCAAAATAATTTTATTCTAGAAGTGTCTGTTTTGGCAGGAAGGGAAAAACTGTTTATGAAAAGAGCTAATAAAACTCCTAAACCTGGAAGTGTTTCCATTCTGTCTATGACTTCACCAAAGTCATAGAAATGTTGCTTATTAGAGACACTTGAGAGTCTCTAGTTCGATCTCATCCTCAAAGCACAGTTATCACCAGCTGTGGATAATGTCAGCCATGATTTTGTCCAATTATTTTGTCAGCCTCCAAGCATAGAGGCTCTGCAGATATTCTGGGTGGCCTATACCAGTGATGATATTTGCTCATGGAGATCCTTTCCTGATATCTAGCCTAAGTCTCCCTAGCCACAGTTGGATGATCATTTGCCTATTTTTTTTTTAATTACCTGCCGAAGCAAAAGTAGTTTGAAGTCAGACCAGTGGGTTGTATCCATGCACAGTTGTGAAATCGATGAATAATTTCAGTTCTTACCAAACAGAATAGAAAGCAGTGTACCACAGGAAGCAGAAATCACCTTGTATTCTGCAACAGTTTGTCTGTGAGTACTTCCTGTGTCAGTTTGGGCAAATACTTATAACAATTAAGTCAGTTATTTTAAACACCCATTAAAGGAATCTTAAGTCCTCCCTGGGGTCATTTCACTTCTGTAAGTTTATAATTGTTTGAGACTAACCATAATTTCTTCTTTTGCCTTCAGGTGATTCTAATTCTGACAAAGCTATATGACTACAACCTGGGAAGCATCACAGAGAGCTCTCTTTGGAGGTATGGAGATAAACTGAGTTAATAATTACTATCTTACCTTTTAAATAGGAGCAGTCTGATACAATTCTTTTATTTAATTGGATTTTTTAAAAATTTGCTGGAAGGTTTGTAGTTAACCTCTCTTTCTTTTATTTTGTACTTGAAGATGAAGAAGCTGAAGTTTTGATTTTTTTTTTCAAACAGATAACATATTTCACGAACCTGCTCTCATTTGATTTCCCCTTTTTTGTCTTATTCAGACTAAAATTTATCAGTTGGTTTATTTTTAGAAGAACTCAAGCTTATGTCCTTGTTTATTATGAAGAACCTTATGGCTGTCTACTGCCCAAATGATACTTCTGAAAAGTCAGTACTGCTAAGACTGGGAAACTATTTGTGATTAAAGTGGGCTCAAATGAGTATCACAGGTCTTTATTCAGAACTTGTAGTATTAGTACCAGATTTCAATGGATTTCAATCTGTGTGATTCTGTCTGTTATAGTGATTTGTAAAGGGATGCCTTGATACTTCAATGACTTTAAGACATATCCTGCACTCTGAACCAAAGGCAAGGATTTTCTTGTGGTCTATTTCTCTATGGTGTTATTTGGATCCAGTGAGGGCAGACGGTATTTGTTTTTTTATGTATCTGAAAAATGGATCTAAGTTGTGTTTACTTCATAGTTCTTGTGGAAGCGTCAAGAGCCATAATAGGTAAAGGGAAATTTATCTTGTGGTTTGATTTACAAAGCATTGCTGGGCAGTCTGGGGAGATTTTATAAAGGCTGTTGATGGAGGTGGACTGACTACTGTTTCTCTCCCAACTGATGAAATAGCAAAACTTGTAGGATTTTCTTTCTAGCAATAGAAACATGCGGAATGATTAGCATTTTGTGATGCTGATTAAATTATTTCTTGTTGTGCTATGGAGATAATTAGACCTTCCTATTTTGTATAAATTGCTGGTAGGGCTTGAGGTCAAAAAGGATCATATTGTCTCTACTGCCCTTTGCCTTGTCTGATATGCATGGTGAGGTGTCACAATGATTTCAAAAAGTAAAATTCATAAATGCAATATGTTATTTATTTCCTCTAACTACCCTCAGCCATTTCTCCCTGAAAAATTAGTCATTGAGGAGAGCGTGGTGTTTCACTCTGTGGAGACACATCCTTCTCCATTGCTGACAGTGCTAAAAAATTATTTTTCTCTTGTGATGCAGTGCAGAATTGTGATGAGGTTCTGGTTTAGGACTGAAAACAGAACAGCCATATCAGAGTGGAGAAAGTAACGCTAGAAGTGATGCATGAACGTGGGCAAAAAGTCTTGCCAATGAGCTTATGCTGTTTCCTGTTTCATAACTAATGTCTGTGAAGTTTGAATTTTACCATGTTTGAAAGGGGCAGATGTGCAGATGTCACTGAAGGATATACCTGGAACCTGCTTTGGCAGGGGGTTGGACTCGATCTCTGGAGGTCCCTTCCAACCGCTACGATTCTGCGATTCTGTGATACCAGCATCTGGAAGTTTGTCTGTGTAGCAAACCTACAGCTAGTGAGTGTAGAGCACTTTATTGGACTTTGGACTTCCTTAATATCAGAAAATGACATAAGAAAAGCTATATTTTCTCTAACCTAGTATCTTGTTGCCCAAAAGCAATCTAAGAGAGAATATACAAACGGGGTTTTCATATCTGACGGTTCCTTGTATTCTCCCAGCCTTCATTCATAGTGTTGAAATTTCAGGTCCTTCCTCGCCCTTTGGTTTAAGATCTATCTGAATATTTTATTATTAATATATCAGTGTATTTTTATTTGGTATGTAAATTGTTTCATTTTTTTTAATAGTTTCAAGAAATATTTACCACTGTGAAACTTTACTGGTATGAACTAACTTCCTTAGTATCTTCATCAGTGTTCTTAAAACTTTTAGCACTTGTGACATTTTGGAGCAAAGAATATTGTGGATTTGAGGAACTCTTGGCTTGTTTTGAACTCATCAGCTCTAGTTTTACTTGGTATCTGTCGCTTGCCAGAACTTGTTTACAGCTATGTGGCCAATCATCCAGAGTCCCTGGAGAAAGACTTTTCTCTAGGAGATGTCAGAGGAGAACCAGGATGGCTAAAACCCACGAGTGTTTCTCTGCAGTGCTCCATTATTATTCTTCATTGGCTCTTTGGTTCTTGTGGCTGCTCTGACTGTCGCTCACCAGCATGCTTCATTCTCTTAACTGAGTCCTGCTGCCTTACGTCAGCTGTGGGTGTTTATGCTGTGCTCTGTCCTGCGACTGGCTCTGCAGCTAGATCCCTGCTCACCATGCAGATATGTATTTGGATCAGTAATAAATAACCTTCTGAAGATCCCCTGACAGCTTCTCTGTTCTTAGTATGATGGAAAGAAATGACTGAATGGGCATGTCTTATTATTTAATTCACCTGACAGAGAGGTTATTAGCCATTGCACCTCCTGGCTGCTTAAGTGATGTGTTAATTTACATCTCCTTGCTTGCTTCAAAAGGGTAGAAAAATTGAATTGAGTGAAAGGCAGAAACGTATCTTATACTTCAATTTATTTCTTCCCTCTAGCTTTGATGCTGAGGAATAGAAGAAATCATGATTTCATGTCTGGTTTGATTTCTGATGTCAAGAGCTCTGTTTCTGAGGAAAAAGACATATTCTGCATGTTCTCACCACTGAAGAGAAATCTCTACCTTGAGTACATGACAAAGAAATACCACTCTCACCTCCTGTGGAAAGCATGTTCTCCAAAGGCTGATGAATAATGAGGGGCTGTTTAGTAGCATGTCACAGACACAAGTCATTTGTGCTATAGCTGATTATAAGTGCATCTGTCATTGTTGGGTGATTTAAGCAGTTTTGTGACTGATGAAACTGTAACCATCTATAACGTAGCCATGCCATTGTGTACAAGATATGAATTTGTGTTACGTGTAAACGTACTACCACCTGCTAGAATGGCATTTCTTTACAATTTTTCAGCCAGTTTAGCTACAGCTGGCTGCAGTGCTAATGGAAGGAAATTGTCCTTCTGAAACGACCCATGAATTAAGAGACCACTTGTGACAGACATAAAGGGATGAAATATAGCATCGGAAAGAAACAGAATCTTTACTATCTTCTTGAGTACTGAAGCTCAGAAGCTTGCCAGGCTTTGGGTGGCAAGTGAGCTGTTACTTCTGTATATGGCAAATGAAGCTTTGTATATGGCTGTGCCTGACTTTAATTATGGTGTTATCTTGACATACTTCTTCCAGCATTTTAGATGAAAGACTTTTATTTACATTTGCTATTCTTTTTATAGAAGAGGAGGAAAACAGAAAGGAGAAAAGATTATCTGTCACTGAGCAATTAACCGACTGTACTGGGTTTATTTCTCTTTCTGTCGTAGGTATCTCTCAGATTGCAAAAAGGATTAAGCTGTGAGAGTTAGGAGATGCGGTTTTTTACCACTAGAGTAAGATAAGCATACATTTCCAATTAATAAAAATGCCAGAACAGTGACTATGGTGTCCATGAGCTGCAGACAAGCTGGAGAAGACTAATTTTTTTTTTTTTTTGTATAAACATGATGTTCTTGAGAGATATGTAGGACCCTTTCTATTAGGATCTTTAGTGGCTGACAAGCAATACGTGCTGCTATTTGCTTCCTTCCTTTCATGTCGTGTTTGATATTTCTTTAGAAAGTAGCAGCAATTTAAACTTTTCATCCAGAAAGTAGGAAGATGTAGGGTTTGCTTGGCTTGCAAACAGTTATGCTCTAAACATGTATCTGTTGCTCTGCTTGTTCTGGCTGCTATTGGTGGTATTTCTACACTCCAACACTGTCCTTGAGCTTAACACTTCCAACTTGTACTGTACTGCTCCTGGTTCCTGCAATACGGAAGCTTTTACATGTATGCCATAAGGAAAGCTCAAGGATTCTAGAAAAGATTCATGCCTCATATAGATCTGGCTTTAACTTCCCATATAGAAAGCAAGGGATACATAAAGCACATCATCCTGCAATTCTATCCATTCAAGGACTTCAAGAAGATGGACTTGATATGTAAGCCAGCAAAGAAACAGATACCTTAGAGCATTGCCACTTGTAGGTATAGGAATAACCTTTATTTCTTTCATGGCTCTGCTTGATGAAATAAAGAATTCACTGAGTTGAATGCAAAGACACTATCTTTCACTCAGGAATTGTAAGCAATGTGTTTGTAGAGAATTAAGGCTATATCCTAATTATGTTCCTGTTCTCTACTGCTGTCAGCTATTGCTGAAGACAAGGTGATAGGTAAAAGCAGACATAACGTTTAAGTACCATCAGTGTTAGCTCTGTATGATGAGTAGTCTTGTAGTCATTGTCATGCAGGAAAGTGTTTTGGTGAAAACACTTATTAATGGAGATAGTTTTGCATTAGTATGTAATTTTCTTTCTCTGGACTAGAGAGTTCTTAGAGTGGGATACTTGAAAGGTTAGCAGTACCTTCTCCCTTTGAAGGTAATCTCGAGGAGAAGTCTGTTACTCTGTTGTCCTCCTGCACTTTGTATGATGTTTCCTTGCTTCTGTTTTGCAAATGGGCTCTTCTCCGTGCAGGCTTATTTTCTACCTGCTGAGCCACATTAATAAGGTCATAACCTACAATTTAGTGACACAGCATGCTCTGAAATGGCAGATTAAGTTCTTTTAGGTGGAATAGAGGAGAACCAAATACGTACATGTAGAACTGACAAAATGGGGAAAGAGAAGTCATTAAGTCCATTTTAACAAGCAGTATTGTGGGAAAGAGGAATATGAAAAGGACTATTTGAAATGCTTTTATCCATAAATACGTTGTTCTAGTTGCTCAGTGTTGATAAATGCTACTACCTTATCTTCCATGAGCATTTAGTGAAATGTTAACTGTGGAACAATGACACTTCTTTGTCTGTTTTTGTTTGTTTTCATTTTTGCTCCTGCAAACATATGAACCACTGGCTGTTCTGTGTGTATAAGTGCTGGAGGGCATCTGTGAAGG